CCCAGAAAAAAAGAATTTAGCTCCGTCACTCTGTGCTTAGGAGTGAGGTATAAACCAGAGGGAGAGAAAGGAGACGGTAGGACAAAGCAGGAAGATGAAAAAGTGAAATGTCTGCTTCTGGGGAACTTTCTAAAGTTAAGAGGTAATAGAAATACTTTCTTAAAGCAAAAAGAAAAAAATAAGCAAACAAAAACCACAAGATATTTTGATTATGGATAGTCAGCTAGCAGATATTTATTGACTGCCTTTGGGTCACTATGCTTACTGCTGTCACTCAAAATACAGCCCTGTCCCCCCACCCAAATTCCTCCAGCATTTGTTATGAAATCTATGACCTCCTCCACCCTCCTTTCATTTCCAGTAAATCACGGGATGTCTGTGATAAAGATGCTCACTCCACTGGCGTACTTCACTGTCTTGACTTGGTAAAAGAAATAGCCCACTACAAAGGCAAAAGCAGTGTGAACATGTTCACAGATGTCCTATCATGATGGATCTCTTGTAAAAATCACACAAGGTATTCAAAATCTGCTTTCTGTCTCCCCTCATTTCTTGTGATCTCTAGCTCTCATCAACACCTTCCCCAGGCCAATTACATAGTTTATTCCAACCGAAACATGGACTCTTTGCCACACAGTGCTGCTTCTCTGGTCCCTCGGGTATTTTTTCTCTCTCACTGAAACTCCCCCAACCCCATCTTCCAGCTCCTCTCTTGATTCATTGACTCATGCAGCGCATCTCTCCAGGGCACATCCTTGTGTGGGAAATATGTTGATCTTCTAGGTGCACCAGTGAGCAGCAATAGGGATTTACTAGAGGTATTTAGAGTAGGAAGCCGGAAAGCGTAGGTGGTGAGACCTCTGTGTAACTATGGTCCCTTCTGAGGTTCTTGTACCATGAATTCTAGTTGGGCTTAGTAATAAAACCCAGGATCAGATAAAGGGGTTAATGCTGAAGATCGGAGAAGCAGAGTGGCCAGCCACTAGAGAGTTCTTTTACCTCTACCATTGCTCAGACCAATGGGGCATTCCTGTCCTCAGACTGCATCTCCAGACTCCATCGTCTCCACCAAATCTCAGACTTTCCTGAGCTCCTGTTTGCTTCTTCCTTATATTCCTCTCCACCCAGCCATATCACTCCTGTCTCCACCTCCCTAGTGTTGGGGTTAAAGGCATGGGATCCTAAGTGTTGGAATCACCTTTGTGTGAGCTCTGGTTCTCTTTTAGACAGATTCAATTGTGTGCAGTCCAGGGTGGCCTCGAACTAACATAGATCCCTCTGCCTCTGTCTCCTGAGTTCTGGAATTAAAGATGTATGCCACCACTCCCTGACCTCTAGTGTCTTAGCTCTGTACTCTGATCTTCAGGCAAGTTTTATTTGTTAAACCATAAACAAAATATCACTGCAGGTTCTGAACCAGAAGCTTTCATCAAACCAAAGAAGTAATCTTAAAGATGACTTTTGAACTGGAATCTGCAGGATATTAGAAACGAGCACTGCATGCCTTGAGAGAATAAGAAGGGCCATCCGGGACTGAATGTGGAACATATAATCTGGTATTTGTCGAAAATAATGTTATATTCTGATGAGCATGGGCAAAGATTTTGTTTCATTAAGAGTATAGGCTTAGGACTGGAGAGATGGCTCAGTGGTTAAGAGACTGCTCTTCCAGAGGTCCTGAGTTCAATTCCCAGCAACCACATGATGGCTCACAACCATCTGTAATGAGATCTGCTGCCCTCTTCTGGCCTGCAAGCATACATGCAGGCAGAAACCTGTGTGCATAATAAATAATTTTTTTTTTAAGGAGTATAAGCTCATAAAACTCATGTTTCCCCCCCAGATGGGACACAGTCTTTTTGCATTATTTCTTGTTCCTGCTTCAGGGCCTGACCTGGATACATGATACCGGCCAGCTCCTGAGCTCTCTGACTTCTGTGTTGACTAGTCTGGTAGGGTGTGCTGATTCCAGATGTTACAGATGAAGTCAGGGATACAGATGGGGACAAGCAAGGGGCAGGTAAAAAAAAAAAAGTCTGCAGTAATGCTTTCTGTATTATCTATCATTTGCTTATTTCTACATACGCACATACACACACACCACACCACCACCACCACCACCACCACCACCACTACACACTTCTTTCTCTGGTTCCTTCCCTAGGAGGTCAACTTTGGCCAGCTTTGCCCAAACACCAAGGTGTGGTGCTTTTCTATGTAGCTATTCCTGCCAACTACAATCCCTTCTCTATGCTGATCTGTCTCACTTCTGTAGATGTAAACTTAGTCACTATGAGGCCGCTAACCCAGGAATCCTGTGATATATATGGGTACTGTTGCTGTTGCTTCTCTATAAGCAGATGCTTTTGTTGATAAAGCTTCTAGGAGTTGTCTGTATTAGACTGCGGGTGCCCAGCGGCAGTTGAAACCTATAGGGGCCTTCCTCCCCTGAAACAGCACTGGCATCTAAGCCACTACTTCAGTAGCCACATGCTACACATGAAAGCATCTGAAATATGGCTTCAGTTAAGGCGTGTAAGAAGAGAACACACACTACCTCCAAAGACTTGGATTAAGAAAAGAAGAAGAAAGAAGGGCTGGTAGTCCTTTCCCACTGTTCAACAGTACCACAGACTGGGCCAATTCGCACAATAGACATTTGTTCAGTTTATGTGTCTGGATGCTGGGAAGTCTGGGGGCTTGGGACCACACCATTAATGCTCACAGAGGAATATACAGGTAGAATATCGCTTCATGATGAGCTACAGGTGAACTCGGAGCCCAATGCATTCCAGATGAGAAAACAGATGTTCCGGTGATGGTGAAACTACTTGCTTTCAGAACAACTTTTAAATGGCCACTGTTTTTGTTGCCTTCCTTCTACAAGCCAGACTGAAAACACTGAGGAAAGTTTCAAAATAAATTAAATTTTCAGTCAGTATTAAACTTCAAAGTGGTTTGTCAATACCCAATTTTCAGACATAATAGGACATGGAAAGTTGGCAGGGTTTGTTGCTCATCATGGGCAAAGGCCAGCATTTCCTGGCCCTAAAAATCTACCCAGTTCTTCATTGGCTGTAGAATCAACTGTGTTTGGTACTTTATGAATGCAAGACTATACCCACCTGTGACTTTTTAGCCAGCAGGCCACACACAATCCACTTCTAACCAAGCAAACTTAGAGTCAGTAGCACCCCTGGGGAGACTGAGAGGCAACCCCCTAACTTCCACTTCCATGGTCAAATGGGGTACAGGCAGGAAGAGTAGAGAAAATCTGAGTGTCAAGGCTGGGCAGCCAGAATTCCTACTGCGGTATCTTCATGGTAACTGGGGGATAGGGTTGGAGCAGAAAAATGTCTACAAACACATGGATAGGAATAAAGTGACCAGGGCCTTTGAGGAGACAGCCAGACATAAGGAAACATTAAGACTGGAACAAAAGTGAAATATCTGGGAACTGAAGAGATGGCTCGGCAGTTAAGAGCCCTGGCTGCTCTTCTAGAGGACCTGGGTGAAATTCCCAGCACCCACATTTAGGCTCACAAACATCTGTAACTCCAGTTCAAAGAGATCCAGCACCCTCCAGTTGGCACTAGACACCCAAGTGATACATAGACACACATGCAGGCGGAACAAGCATACACATAAAATAAAAATAAATGAATACCATTGAAAAACAAAATCCCCACAGAGTGATCCCAAAGAAAACAATGAAGCACCCAACATCTGCAGATTCTACTGACCACCTCCCCAGGAGCCAGCAAGGGGCAGATTTTACCCCTGTGTGACCTGCTCTGGGGCCACAGGAAGTGTATCCAGGGTCAGGGGAAATAACAGGAAGAGGAAATCACTGTTTACAAAAGAATTCTTAAGCCTCGAAAGTGCAAACACAGCCTCACATACCGCAATGGTGCACACATGCAAAGTGGTGAACTTTACCAATAACTGGGCATATGGATTTGGAATCAGATTCACATTTAAAAAATTCTTAATTTCTACTTTTGATTTATTTATTGATCTCTTTCCTAAGGGGTTCCTTTCTAGGGATTTGTCAAGGGCTCTTGGTGGACAGTGAAGTAGAAGTCAAATCTACCCTGAAGAATTCTCCTGGCCCAGACAAATCGGGGGGCGTGGCCTGCCGGAGCCGCCAAGAACTCCTGAAAACAAAATTTCTCAAATCTCTGGGATGAGAAGGAGGGGATGGGAATTGGGAATGGGTGAGCTGGAAAGGAATAGGGATGCCAAAGCTTGGACAAGAGGAAACAGGAACTGGGATCTGGGGAGCGTCAAGGCTGCTAAGGGCTAAACTGAGCTGGAAAGACAATCCCTAATCCGGCGAGGGGCTGACAGGGTGGGCATCAGATCCAGGCAAGGAGAGGCCCTAACTGTCAGTTGACAGCAGGCCAGAGAGACCTGGGGGGGGGGGGGCTGTGGGGAAGGGGCGTCGCCTCTGTCGCCCCCGCCCTCCCCAGTGTACTGGGCGGTGCCTCGCCACCGCCTTTTTTCATTTTTTAATTCGGTCCCACCCCTCTGGCCCCTCTAGCGGGGCCGTGAGCCTCTGCTGGGCACCCTGGCGCGGATCCCTGGGTTGGTTTGGCCTGGGCCATTGACGTCACCACCAACTTTGCTGTCCTTCGCCTTCCACGTGTGGCGGTAGCGGCCAAGGAGGCTGCAGGGAGCGTCTAGGAGCACAGTGGCAGCGACCACTGACAGGTCCCGAGCAGAGGGTCCACTCCAGGAGGCTCCCAGCTGGAGTCCCAGAGGAGTGGGTAGACTTCCGGAAAGCCCCAAGAGGCCAGAAGGTTCGAGTTCTACTCAGATCGAAGGGCTAAGGGGGACCTGGCTCCGTGCTGAGACCATCTGAGCCAGGACTCTGAGCGCGCTCCTGGGAGGGCCAGGAAAGCGAGCAGCCAGCGGCTGGGAAAAGGGTCACTCGCTTTGTCCGGAGCGCACACAGCTCTGCGGACCGGGAGTCCCGCGTCCCCTCCACCGGGACCGAGCCAAGAATGCAGGGTCGCTGAGCCGAGATCCGCACCGAGTGGCCGCTCAGGAACCCTGCTGAGCCCAGCGCCTACGCCACCGCCGCCCGCCGCAGAGACTGCGTTGTCCGGCGACTCTCGGGGACCCGGGGCGCCGAGCTCTGCCCAACTAGGCTCAGGACACGAGCACATTTCAGACCCGAGACGATGGTTTCTTAAGCACGGCCCCGAACCCCTTCCTGCCCCTTCGTCCGGAGCCCGGGACCCCGAGAAGGGCTCGCAGGCGGCTTCTGGTCCCCGCTCCAACTCTGGCCGCCGCTCCGCGGGGCACCTCTCCCGCAGGCAGGGGCGCTCGGGCGATGTGGCCTCAGGGCAGCGAGCGGGATGGCAGGGCTCCTGGTGCAGTCCCGGCCTAGCATGGCCCGCCCGTCGTCAGTCGCCTGCGGCTAGGATGGCCCCCTCGGGCCCCGCTGGTGCCCAGCCAGGCCCGGCTGAGCCATTGTCGCGCAGCATCTTCAGGAAGTTCTTGCTGATGCTCTGCTCGCTACTCACTTCCCTCTACGTCTTCTACTGCCTGGCCGAGCGCTGCCAGCCCGGGTCAGGCCCCGTCGCGGGGGTCCCGAGGAGCGGCGTCTCTGCAGGACCGAGGGAGCTGGCGGCGTGGCCGGCGGGGGCGCAAAGGAAGCGCCTCCTGCAGCTGCGGCAAAGGCGGAGACGCGGGCGGCCCGGGCGAGAAGACAGCGGCGACCAGGATGAGCAGAGCCCTGGGCTGACTGCGGCTCCAGGAGGCTCCGGGGCGGGAAGCAGCGTGGCGGAGGCCCAGTCCGGGACCCTGGCCCTACTCCTGGACGAGGGTAGCAAGCAGCTGCCGCAGGCCATCATCATCGGCGTGAAGAAGGGAGGCACGAGGGCGCTGCTGGAGTTTCTGCGCGTGCACCCCGACGTGCGCGCAGTGGGCGCCGAGCCTCACTTCTTCGACCGCAGCTACCACAAGGGCCTCGCCTGGTACCGGTGAGCGCGGGGAACACCCATGGGTATTTCTGAGAGCAGGCTGAGCAGAAGGGCAGAGAGGGAGGCTTGGGAGGAGCGGCAAAGGGGAAGAAGTAGCTATCCCCTACAGGGCTCTCATTCCGCCCTTCTCCTTTGAGAAGGGCAGATAGAGAGAGGAAAGGGGGTTGTCTTCATTTTAATCCTCAGGAATCCCTTTCCCTGCAAACAGCCTGCCCCTTGAAGTAGCCCTTGTATTCAGATGAAGGAAAAGAAAAAGAAAGACTCGAGAGGGTTTGCTTTAAAGTCAGAAACCTGTTCGTCATTACTGGGTTATCCCACTAAAGGAAGCCTCTTTCTGTTCCTTTATCTTTGAGGGTAATTCCCTGTGGTTAACACGGTATTTGCCCCGTTATTTATTTGCCTTGACCCTTTGCCAGATAGTTGTCCAAAGTGGTAAGTCATATAGAGACTTAGTAAAAGTGTCAAGTGCCGGGAGTCCATGTAGTTCGGATAATCTATGTCCCAGCAAGTGCCAGCAACCAGTCGTTGAGTTTTTAAAGAACATTTCCTTGGTAATACCATTGTCCTGACAGAAACTTTTCCAAAGAGCTCCGAACAATTATCTTTACAAATAAGATAGCTAATTTAAAAGGGAAAAGAAGTTTATATATAGATATAAAAAGAATCGTGGAGAAAGCAAGGTAAGCTTATTCGCCATTGTCAAATCCAGATCACCTGTAAGAGTTAGCCAAACTCTAATAAACTCTAGTGTGGCCTGGATTGAGTTTGCGGTGAAAAAAAAAAAAATACTCATCATCCCCACCCCCGCCCTCCAAGTTCAAGGAAAAATCATATGGTTAGAATTTTCCCATTTTATAAAGTTCAGCCTGTTCATAAAACATTCATTCTCATTATAACTGAAACAATATTAGAAAAGTTATGACACAATTGAGGTACAGCGAAGGAACCATTCATAAAACAGAGACGGGCATGATGTGACGAGTGTATTTGCGTGTAGGGTCAAGAACACGTTCAGATCGATTTCAGGAGCTGAATTTATAGTTTAGTCCTAAAAAAAAATCAGATTCAAACATTAAACACTTCTAAAAACAGCAGCTTTCCATTCACTGGAAAGAAAAACAATCAGCCTTCCCTGATAGTGAATATATATCATTTAAAACCATCAGCCACTTAAAAACCTCCCCCTGCCCACGCTTCCGTCATTTACCTTGTACCCTCTGGAAGTTCTTAAAAACTGACCTGTTGAATCTGGACAACAGGTCCTTCTTCTGAACACAAAGGCCGTTCTGTGCTATTCCTCAAGGACACGGGAAAGGAATGGCTAAACACCCTAAAGCTCTTATCTATAGCCTCTCGAATTGAATTGGGCCTCGTACAGTGCTGGGAGGGGGGGACGCGTTTCAAGCCATCAGTCTGAGATTTCTAGGCCAGCCGCAGGCTCTGAGGTCCTATTAAATACAGTGAAATATTTAGTACTGACCTCCTTTATTTTCGTTTTGCTCTATAAACTTTATTTCCACAAGGTAGGATTGTTTCTTCTTATTCCAGCACCGTATATTTGAGGGCACAGTATATCCACAGACCTGGATCTGATTTTCTGTGGAACTTTCTGAAATCGTGTAAAAGCAGGAAGGTTTCAAGGTAACTAAAAACACAACTACTTTAAAAAAAAAAAAAAAGAGTAGGGAAAGAATGAAAAGCAAAAGTCATAAACTTTGAGGCTGCCCTGGCCTTTGGAAACTGGTGGTAAGCTGTGAAGGAGATCTCCTCGGGTTGTTTACCCCCGGCAGAGGAGTTCTAAAAGGCAATTTATGGCGGTTACAAAAATAACTGCACAGTAGACTTCATGGTTTGGTGAATTTAATTTTCCAAGTGTCGGAACAATGTCTTTGTTTTAACATTCACGGTGAGTGTTTTTTTTTATTGAATGCATAAATTTAAGCTCACCGAGTAAAATGAAAAACTCATTTAAAAAAAAAGCAACAACCTGTGGAGCCTGGATTATGGGATTATTTAATGAAATTTCTCCCCCAGTTCTTTTTCTTCTTGACTCTGAACTTGGAGTTTGATGTTCGTGAGAAAGACTGAAGACTTAACTCTCTGTATGAGAAAATCCCACACAGAATAACTGGAAGTTTCTGTGCATTTTGACTACTTATATCTACCTAATATATAGAACAAGGATCTGAGTAGACCTTTCTAAATTGCCCCAAACCTGCAATAGAGAATTTCTACCACATATTTAAGACCACACACACACACACACACACACACAGGCACACAGGTTCACAGACACACAGACATGGACACACTACACAAACAGACACATATACACACGCAGAGGAAAAAACAAAACAAAACAAAAACTTTCTATTAAAAATTAAAGAGAAGAAAATTAAGGAAGAGAAAAATATGGGTAATATATATTTATTTTTAGATGCTTATTGTCATGGGGAAAATAAAAAAAGATGTCTAGGCTCTGTTTCTTTTTTTCTTCCCTCGCTTTCTTCTTTCTTTCCTTCCTTCCTTCCTTCTTTTTTTCTTTTCCTTTCATCCTTTCTTTCTCTCTTCCTTCTATCCTTCCTTTCCTTTCTCTTTTTGTTTCTTCTTTCTTTTTATCCTCTCTCTCTCTCTCTCTCTCTCTCTCTCTCTCTCTCTCTCTCAAATGTTTGTTAACAGTTTGCTGTGGCAGTGCCCCCTACTGTCCTCATGAAGGGAGAAAACTTGCTCTTAGGAAGTTTGAAGAAATCTCTCGGAAAAGGAGTTTGAGACTTAGAAACTCTTGTTGATGAGATGTTTCTATATATTTTCATCACTGAGAAGAATATAAAACATAAGCTGTGTTTCCAGCATAGAGTGTAAGTCCATCTTTGCTAGTAAAATGCAAATGAATGTGTTATTCAACATCTAAACAGGAGGTTCTTCTTATTGATTTAAAGCCTTTGCTGTCTCAACAAGTCTCCTGGCAATGTTTTTTTGTGTGTGTGGAGGCTTGTTCCTAACAACGCAGGACACTCCAGTGGAGGATTCTGGGTATGAAACTCCACCCTGTTGGGTTTGAAAAGCATTCCTCACGACTTAATTTAGCAGACATGCTATCAGTGCAACAAATGTCTGCGGCTTGCATGCCACGTGACAGCGGCCGTTCAAAGCGAACTGTATCTGTTTCCATTGCACGAGTGCTATGATCATAAAGGCGCGTGGAAATAACTCCACTCTCCAAAATGCAGAGATCTTTACTGGGAGTCAAAACCAGTGGCCGCTGTTGCAGTTCAAGGGCAGGTGAACTTTGAACTGAATGAGAGGAGTCTCGTCCCCGCTTGTTTATTACATCTGCCGAGAAAGTGGATTCCATTTTCCCTATGGGGACAAAGGACGTATATCTGTAAATTATTTAAATAAACCATACATGTACATATTCATGCGTATATACACTCCTCCTTTGGTGTCTGTGGGGCATTGGTCCCATCCCCTGGTAAGCGTCAAACTTTTCAGACGCTCAAGTTCTTCCTACGAATGGTACCGTATTTGCACATAACTTAAAACATCCTCCTCTGCACTTTAAATCATGTGTACATTATGTATAATGCGTGATACAATGCAAGTTTTATGTACAGAGTCGCTACAGTAATGTCTAGGGAACAATAACAGAAAAAAAGTCAGGACATGTTCAACACAGATGTAATGTTTTCTGTATGTTTTCATACACAGTTGGCTGAGTCTCTGGAAGTACAACCTGTAGATACAGAGGGCCTGCTATGCATCTGTCTGTTCTGTATCTATTTATCCATCCACACATTCACAAAAACACACATGTTTATATGTGGCTCCCCTAACACCCTATATCTTTATTTGGGCCATAATAGGAAGCATTCTTTATGCTGTCTTTGGTGCTAGCACGTCCCATGTTTTAATTCCCTTCATTAGCAAGTCGAGACCATTTAAGCAGAAAAGACTATCACATTATAGCATACAGTAAAGATAGACGATTACTCAGCTTGGAGTTTTGGAGTTAGCGTTCTCCTGACTTCATCAAAATGTGAAAGTTTTAACCTTTCATGATCATGGCTTTATTTTTCAAGGCCACTAGAGAGTCAACTTAGCAGAGCAACTTCCGGCTTCCGGGAGAACTCTGCATTTTGTGGCAGCTGGGAGCAGCTGCAGAGGACCTCCAGGAACCATTCCCACCCCCTGCACCACCATCCCCTTCTGCACAAAGAGTCTGAAATTTAAGCCAAAGGAGGTGCAGATCCTGGCCACCCATGCAAGGTCATAAGGATTGAAGTCCAGAGACTGTGTCCTTGAGTAAGCAAAGAACACGGGCTGGGGAGAACTCTGAGTCCAGGGGGTTCATATCTGTGGAGAAAAATGGAGCTATTTCTTCCATGAATATACTTCCCACCTGCTGTCTTTGTTCGAATTCTGCGTTCTTTTCCTGGAGATGTCACTGATAATTGAATCAGCCGTGTGTGCGTGTGCGGAGTATGTACGTGTGCATGCATGCATGTGTGTGTGTGTGTGTGTGTGTGGTGTGCATGTATATGTGCCTAGAAGGATATATGTAATAGATGGGGAAGGGATAAAATCTGTATGATTAATTAAATTACTCACTAAATGTTTAGGGAATGACTTAGATGTGCCAGGTACAGAAGAGGCTCCGATTATCCTGGAGCTGACATACCTTGAGTCTGCACTTCCTCCTGGATGCCTCCCCTTGTAATCTGAGGGTACTGTTTGCTGCTTTACTTCATGTGAGAAAGCAAAGATAATCTCTGGGTGGAAGTCCCCCACAGTGTTGTGATCTCCTGCCCCACCTTCCCTTAAAAGAAAACAACTCTGGCCCAAATATTTGTCTCATATAAATAAACCGGTCGATTGGCTCGGGAGGAATAAGTGCCAAGTCTGTATTTCAGACGGGTCATGGGAAGAAAGTGGGCCTGTGCAATTAATGACAGCAGAGGCTAACCTTACATAGGCCAGATGTTCACATCATGAAGAAT